GATATGTATTCTTTTTTTTTTTTCTGTATAATTAATGGAATTACTGAGTCATGGCAAGTGTATGTTTAATTTTATAAAAACATGCAGAATTGTTTCCCAAAGTGGCTCTACCATTTCACATTCCCATCACCTGAGAGCTGTAGTGGCTCTATATTCTTTTGGATACTTGTCGGTTACTTTACTTTTACCCATTTTAGTGAGTATGAAGTGGTATCTCACTGTGGATTTAATTTGGATTTCCCTGATGACTAATGATATTGAACATTTTTCATATGCTTTTTAACAATTGATACAGATCTTTTATGAAGTGTTTACTCAACTCTTTCAGGTTGTCTTTGATTACTGAGTTCTAAAAAGTTCATTTGTGTATTTTAGCTATAAATATTACCTCCTGGTCTTTGAGTTTCCTTCCATTTTCTTGGCAGTAGCTTTAAAACTGGGAGGTCTTATTCCTATTACTTTTAAATTTTTAATAAGCCTAATTTTTAATAATCTAATGAATCAGATTTTTCTTCTGTAGTTAATAGGCTGAATTTGAAGATCTCTCAGCACCATGTTGGAGCCTTTGTTGGAGCCTTTGTTGAAAAACCTGTTGGAGCCTTTGTTGAAAAACAAATAACCATATATATATGGGTTTATTTCTGGATTCCATACTCTTTATATACACCACTACCATTCTGGCTTAATTACTGTATTTTATGGTAAGTCTTAAAATACCTTTGACCCTTAAACAACATGGGTTTAATCTATGTGGGTCCGCTTAATATGCAAATATATTTTAACAGATTTTATTTTTATTTATTCAGAGAGACAGAGAGAGGCAGAGAGAGAGCGTGCACACACGTGAATGAGGGAGGGAAAGAGAATCTCCAGCAAACTCCCCACTGAGCACAAAGCCCGACACACAGGGCTCAATCCCACAACCTGAGATCCTGACCTGAGTCAAAATCAAGAATTGGACACTTAACCAACTGAGTCACCCAGGTGCCCCTGCAGATATTTTCCAAAAAATATAATGGAAAAATTTTGGTGATTTGTGACAATTTGAAAACCTTCAATGATGAACCATGTAGCCTAGAAATACTGAAAAAACTAAGGAAAAGGTATGTCATGAATGCATAAAATATACGTAGATACATATGTAGCCTACTTTATCATTTACTACTATAAAACATACACAAATTATAAAACATTACAATTTAGCAAAACTTACACAAACCATAGTGATGCCATTCCTAGTCAAGAGAAATACAACAAATGTAAACATGCAGTATTAAATCATAACTGTATAAAATTAACTATAGTACATACTATACTACTGTAATAATTTTGTAGTCACCTCCTGATGCTATTGCAATGAGTTCAAGTGTTATAAGTATCCACTTGAAATACCACGTGATGCTAATCTTCTCCATGAGAGTAGTTCCTCTCTCAAGTAAATTGCATACTGCAGTAAAAAGTGATTATCTATTGGCTCTTCGCTATTAACAGTTCTGGAGAGTAAAAGTTATACTCAGATTTTCGACTATGTGGTGTGTTGGTGCCCCTACTCCCAATGCTCTTCTAGGGTCAACTGTAGTAAATGTAAATCCTCCAATTTTTTTCTTTCTCAGAATTGTTTTGGCTACTCTACGTCCTTTGCACTTCCATGTCAGTTTTGCAATCAACTAGCCAATCTTCACAAAGAAAATCTGTTGGGATTCTGATTGAAATTTCATTGAATCTAAATTTCCATTTGTTAACACTCAAAGAACAAATAATCCAGTCAAGAAACGGGCAGAAGACATAAATAGATATTTCTTCAAAGAAGACATACAAATGGCTAACAGACATGAAAAATGCTCAGTATCACTCAGCATCAGGGAAGTACAGATCAAAACCATGATGAGATACCACTTCACATCAGTCAGAATAGTTAAAATTAACAAGTCAGAAATAACAAATGTTGGCAAGGAAGCAGATAAAGGGGGGAACCCTCTTACACTGCCGGTGGGAATGCAAGCTGGTGCAGCTACTCTGGAAAACAGTATGGAGGTTCCTCAAAAAGTTGAAAATAGAGCTACCCTATGACCCAGCAATTTCACTACTGCGTATTTATCCCAAAGAGAGAAATGTGATCTGAAGGGGCACCTGCATCCCAATGTTTATAGCAGCAATATCCACAATAGCCAAACTACGGAAAGAGCCCAGATGTCTATCAACAGATGAATGGATAAGGAAGATGTGGTATACACACAAACACACACACAGAGAGAGATGGAATACTGCTCAGCCATCAAAAAAAAAAAAAAAAAAAAGAAATCTTGCCATTTGCAATGATGTAAATGGAACTATAGGGTATTATATGAAGTGAAATAAGTCAATCAGAGAAATTATCAAATGAGCTCACTCATGTGGAATTTAAGAAACAAAATAAAAGGATCATAGGGGAAGAGAGGGAAAAATTGACAAAATCAGAAAGGGAGACAAACTATAAGAGATTCTTAATCATAGGAAATAAACTGAGGGTTGCTGGAGGGGAAGGGGGCGAAGGAATGGGGTCATTGGGTGATGGACATTAAGGAGGGCACATGATATAATGAGCACTGGGTATTATATAAGACTAAGACCTCTACCTCTGAAACTAATAATACATTATATGTTAATTAATTGAATTTAAATTAAAAATTAAAAAAAAATAAATTTCTGCTTGTTGACAACAATATCAAGTCTCCAATCTACGTAATCTATGGACATAACACAGCTTTCCATTTATTTAGATGCTCTTTAATTTCCTTCAGCAATGTTAATGGACGTTTCATTAAATTTATTCCCAAGTAATGCATGTTTTTTGGTGCTAATGCAAATGATACTATTATTTTAATTACATTTTCCATTTGTTTGTTGCTAGTAGGTAGAAACATAGTTGATTTATGTATACTGATCTTGTCACTTTCCACTTTATTAAATCCACTTATAGCATTTTAGGGGTAAATTCCTTAGGATTTTCTATATAGACAATCATATTGTCTGAGAATATAGAGAGATTGTTTTATTTTTTCCTTTCCAATATTTACTGCCTTACTGCCTACTACACTAGCTAGGATCTCCAGAACAATATTGAATAGAAGTGGTTGGTTCAGAAATCCTTGCCTTATACCTATCTTAGGGAAAAGTATTCTATCTTTCACCATTAAGTGTGATGATAGCTGCAGGTTTTTTGATACTCTATCAGATTGAAAAGCTTTCTTCCATTATTAGTTTGTTGAGGGTTTAAAAAAAAAATCTCATGGTTAATTTGATCACATACTTATTCTGTATTTATTGAGATGACCACATAACTTTTATCCTTAACTTTATTAATTTGGTGAAAAGGGGGTGAGGAACTAAAACTTATATTAGGAAGGAAAGATATAATGTTTAAAATAAATGAATGATGACTATGCAAAATATGCATTATAAATATGGAGGCAAATAATGAAAGAAATAATTTTTAAAAATTCACATCTCTGAGGAGCAAGCCAACTTGGGAGTGGAAACTGATATTTTTTAGAAGTCTTTCAAGCAATGACATATTAATATAAGAATATGTAATATTTTGATGCCTGGGTGGCTCAGCGGTTGAGCTTGTGCCCTTGTCTCAGGGTGTGATAGTCCCGGGATCGAGTCCCACATCAGGCTCCCCATGGGGAGCTTGCTTCTCCCTCTGCCTATGTCTCTGCCTCTGTCTCTCATAAATAAATACAAAATCTTAAAAGAAAAGAGTATGTAGTATTTGATGACAAATATTTAAAATTAAAACAGGTTTCAGAGAGATGTGAAGATGAGGATGAGGCTGGGGTGATTATTGTGTGCCAAGGCTGGGGGAGTAAGGGCATAGGAGAGATAAGTGCAGCTTCAAGCATGGGTTTTTTTCGTGGGGAATCCAGAAAGTATTTCCCATGCAGATGGATATACTAGGCAGGGAAGATATAGGAGTGGAAATAAAGACTTGGGAATAAGCACCAGATTTTGTTGTTTTAAAGCTACAGAAGTACTGAAAACTGATTATGCAGAGGGTGAGAAAAGGGTCAAGGGCAAAGCTCTGAGGAAGGCTGCCATGTATGGTGCAGGGGGAGGAGAAGGATGCAAGGAAGGAGACAGAGGGCAGGAAGAAAACCAGTCCAGAAAACATAGAAGTCAAGGGAGAAAAGTATTTCATTCTTCCAACACGCTGAATTCCAAAGATTTTATGTACCAACAAACAGAGCTATACTTTTCTTTCATATGCGTTTCTCCATAATTTCATACAGAAAGTTGGGAAGTTAAAACCTTAAACAACATACATGTAATGACAGAAAAAAAGAGAAGGGTGTTACACATATTTTTAATGTTGCTATTTATGTGTTCTATTTCAGGAAACATCTGCAGCAAAGTATAAGATACAGAACTTCCACTGCTTATCTCAACTGCTGAAGGGTTCAAGAAGAAAATGAGCAACAGAAATCACAGACACAAAAGAAAACTGGCTGTATATCCATGTCACTTAGATGGGACATGTGAAGAGGTAAAAAAAGGAAAAAAGATAGAAAAATGCCTAACAACTTCTTTAACAGAGTACACAAGGTGTGATGATTCAGAAGTAATGAGTCATTTAGAAATAATAAAACTATCAGTTTGCCTGGAAAACACAGGCACTCTTTGGTGGATGACTCAGTATGGAAATTGATCCCAAGAGAACAATTTACAGGCAGACAAAAACATATACCATTGAACTACTTTACTTGCAGGATAAAAAAGGAGACCTGGACTATTTTATTTGTTGTGTTCACTTCAAAAACAGGTGAGAAAATAAATTAAGAAATCTCTTAGAAGGGAATATTTTTCTATGCTCAAAGAAACTGTATATATGAATATGAAAGAACAAATTAAAGCTTTAGATTTAGGGCTAATGTCTGAAATAATTAGACTAAAAGATAAGAACATCTCAGCAGCAGGCCTAAATTGAGCAGCTGGGAATTAGAAAGTGCTTTAAAATTTACCTTTATTTTTACTCCAGTGGAGGAAAGGAAATGTGGCTGAGAGGAAAAGTGCCAGGTGGGGGGATCAGGAGCTCCTCATCCCAACTTTGCTTTGTACTGAGCAGCTCAGTAAGTTGGTCAGGTTGCTTCCTTTGAATTTCTCTTCAAAAAAACGGGACAAAAGCTGGCGCTTGGGTCTAGGGAATGTGAGAAAAAAACAAAATTTTTTTCCTGTTTTGAATTAGGAAGTAGTTATAGTTTATTAAAAAGCTATTTTCTATTATTTGATGTAGGGTTGATGTAGGAAGAAGCAAGGAGAACTGGCTACTAATTTTTAATGTGTGTAATTTGCAAAGCTAATGATTTTCCCAAGTAGTGGCTCTGAAAGGAAAATTTAAAGGCTAAAGTTTTACCATTTTATAATTTTTAAACATTCTCTATTATATATTCTAAAACATCACTATCAAATCACACCCTACAGATAAAAATCAAATAATATCCTACAGATAAAAATCATGTGACACTTTAGAAGAACATATATTCAACCACAATTTCAGAGCCAGGTACTCTTCAAGATGAGGGAACTAAGAATTCAGTGCTTTCACCTCAAATAGCTTATAATAGTAGACAGGAAAAGAAGAAACATAACCTTTACATCAAGGAAGGTATTCCAGAGAGGCAGACTGCCAAGCACAGTCCTAGAGCAGAGCAGAAGTAGCTGGCTCCAGGAAGAAAGGGAAAAATGCCCTGTGGATAAAGGGAGCAAGGCAGGAAGAGCATGTGATGTGTGAGGAGTCACCAGGAATCTGGTATTATTTCAAGGTCAAGTTTGAAGAGAGGCTTCAAGGCACCAGGGATGAAGGGGTGGGGTAGAGGCAATTTGAGAGATTGAAGAGAACGAAGGGACAAAGTCAGATTTACATGGTAGGCCTGTCACTGGGTGAAGCCAGACCAAAGCTAGGCAGATGAGGTAGGTGGCCTCTGCAGAGCTCAGAACAGAAATCAGTGAGGCTACAAATGGAAAGCAGCTCTGAAGGTTAAGTGACTAGCCCATGATTACAAATCTATAAGCAGGATCTGAATGTAAGTTTTTTATCTTTAAATCCCATGCTTTTCTACATCCCTGTACAAGCACAAATTCTAGTGAAAGTTGACAACAGATCTCAAATTCATTTTTAATAAGTAAATTATGGAGCTTAAGAGACTTTGTTCATTAACGCATTTAAGTATGCTAAATGTTCAGGGCATTACAGAAAAACAAAGCTCTTGTCTTATATGAACTTATGGAATAAAAGAAAGGAGATAAAAAGACTAGATCAATTTATTCAGTGGGTATTTATTGAGGCACTCCTGGACCCTGATGAAGGTCACATGCCAGTGATAGTTCCTTATGAACATAATTTTTACATCTCCCTTTCCTTCTCTGACAAGCTAATTTTTGTACAAGTGAGCAAAGAGGCTCTTCAGAGCCAAGTGGGCAATTCTAGAAGAGGACCAGGAATATAGAGTAAAATAAATAGAAGCATGGACTGGGGGAAACTTTGCTTGAATGGGATGCTAAGAGAACAAGAAAAAATCCCAGAGGATGGCATGGTTGGAAGAAAGCTGGGGAGGGGCCAGGAATTGCCTTCAGTGCAATTTGGATTTGACAGATCAAGGTTGTTGCTTACTTTTTTAACAACAGTTTTAATATTTATAAAAATAATGACTATAGAAATAAAACATAGCTGCTGCGAAAAGAGTGCATGCAATTAACACAAAGAGTTAAAAAAAAAAGCGCCTCATACCTAGAGAGGGTATCAATGTGAACATTTTTATAACTGTCCTCTTTTGGCTTTAGACACACATATACAAGTAAACAGACATGAGGATTTTTGTGAATATGTTTTTTTTTTAAGAAATGAAAGTGATACAATTATAGTTTATTACTTATTTTTTCCACTTAATATAGGAAAACATCTTTCCATAAAAACAAAAAGCTACATCATACATCTCATATACACTGTGTGGATATACCAAATTTACTTATTCAATTCTCTACTAAGGCACATTAGGCTATCTGATAAAGTAAGGTACAGAAAGGAAGCAAGCAGGAAACAAAGGATAAAATGGACTTTAGCTGGGGCAGCATTCTGAATATTCCAAAGGTAGAAAGAGATAAGACATATGGGAGCTCATGAGATTTTAGTGTTCCAGACGTAAGATGAATAATGTCTGAATCTGGAATTCTTTGTGGATGAAAAATTTCCAAAAGGGGAACAACCAAAAAAAAAGAGACTGCAACCCAACACACACTAAAAATGAAGTAATTTCAAATCTTCACATCTGCAGAACAGATAGAATGTCAAAGAAAGCACTCAGACAACTTAAAACAATGGGTGAACTGCCAGGGAAAATCCAGTTGCCGAACTAGTGGTCATCCACAACCACAGCTTTCCAAGGAAGTGACAGAGTCTCCCAAATTGTGCGAATAGGGGGTACAGCAAGCCCTTCTTGTGAGATGCCATGAGCCTCAAGGCATTGTGTATCCTCTCTGGGCCTCCATTTCCTCGTGTTCATGCAGGCTTGTCAGAGTTCCCTCGGAAGCTGCCAATACTAGGCATCTCCCACTGCAACCAGAATAGCTCTGCTTTCATCTGTTTTATATATTGGATCTCCAAAAAATATTTTATTTGAAAAAAAAAAAGAGTTCCACCGCTAAAAAATACACTTAATAATCACAGGATTAAAGAAACATAACATTCAGGGCACTTGGGTGGCACGAATGATTACGTATCTCACTCCCACTCAGTGTGGAGTCCACTGGGGTTTCTCTCTCCTTTTCTCTCTGGCCCTCCCCTTTGCACGTGCGCACTCTCTATCTTAAAAAAAAAAAAAAAAAGAAGAAGAAAAGAAAAAGAAACATTACACCATTCAGATTCTGTATTAATCACAAATTTAAAAATGTAAATTGATAACGGAGGGATGTGAAAGTCACCACCTTAACATGCTAGTCAAACACAGCATCACTAACTGTGGGACAATCAGTATGTACCTCTCTCAATATGATGCAATGAGAAGATCAAAGTACCATTTACACAGTTTTCTTGCCAAAAATATTTACTTTATCCAACCTTTTTGATCTAATGTCCAGTTACAGGAATTATAGGCAGTAGAGAAATATGTTACTACCATGAGGAAACAGAGAAATTCAAGGTATGGATCATTTTAAAAGACAGTTGGTCTGGTCTCTTCAATAAATCAACATCATGGGAGAAAAAGTACATGTGCGGAAATAAATTGGGGGAAAAGGAGGGAGAAGAAACACCAACTACAAAGGCTCTGAGGTGGGAACACATCTTGACTTTTAGCAAGAGTGAGAATGCCACTGTGACTAGACTCTGACTTTTGCTAGGTGAGGTAGGGAGCTACTGAAGAACTCTGAGCAGAAAAATGACATGATCTCATCTTTTTAACAAGATCCTTCTAGTTGTTCTGATAAGAGCAGACTACCAGGGACAAAAGAGAAAGCAGGGACACCAAAAAGGGGGCCAAATATGCCTGGAAAAATCCAGGTAAAACATGATGCTGGTTTGGACCAGGAGAAAATTAGAAATAGATTCTGGATACAATTTGAAACAACAATCAATGGAACAGATGTGTGGGCTTTGTGGAAAAGGAGGAGGTTAAGATGAATTTATGAGTTGATTTTAAAAACTGTTGTTGCTTTGTTTTTGCTTGAAGAACTAGAAGAAGAGGACTGACATTAATTGAGACTAGGACGATTGCAGGAAGAACTAATTTGTTGGTAGGAGAGGGAGTGGTGGTGGCTAGGTAAGTAGTCGGGTTTGGGATATTACTTTTGAGATGCCTGTTAGACATTTAGGTAAAGATATGCAGAATGCTATGGGATAATCAAGTGTAGACTTTAGGGGAGAGATTTGGGCTGATACAAATTTGAGTCATATTTAATGCATTGAGACCAGAGGAGATGATCAAAGGAGGGAATATACAAAGAAAAGAGAAAGAAATATATAGAAATATTTACTTTATAATAAATCATATTCTCTAAGATTCTGTAGAATTCTGTATTTCTACATAGGAATATAGAAAGAAACATCCAAAGGCTGAGCCCTGGGGTACTCAAACATGTAGAGCAGTACTATACAATGGAACTTTCTGTGATGTTGAAATATTTATATATCTGTGCCATTCAATAGGTAGCCACTATCCACATGTGGCTCCTGAGCACTTGAAATATGGCTAATGCCAATGAATAACTGAAAATTCAATTTAAATAGCGATGTATAGCTAGTGGCTACAGTACTGGGTAGTACAGATCTAGAGTCTGGGGAAGTGATGAGGAATCAGCAGAGAAAACTGAAAAGAAGTGGCTAGAAATGGAGGGTCCATGGGTCGTTCACGTTTTTGCATATGTTACAAGTGAGGTACTGTCTTGACAGTGATATATTAGAAGCCAAGTGAAGAAGGTGTTTCAAGGAGGAGAGAGTGATCAGCTTTGCTCCTGAACGTTAAGTCAGGTAATTGAGAAACGACACATTGTGGACATCACTAGTAACTGGGAAGAGCAGTTTTGATGGAATTGTGGGGGCAGAAATCTGTTTGGTTTGGGTAAAAAAAAGAAATGGGAAGAAAAAGCCAGCAACAAAGTAGAGACAACTCTTTCAAGTTTTACCATGAAGTTTAAGTGAAATTAGAAGAGACAGTGATGTCCACAAGGATTATTTTAAAAAGAGGAAAAAAGCATATTTTATCATGTATAAGACAATAATTAAGAAAAAGGGAAAAGTGATAGGAGAGAAGGAATTATGAAGCAGTTGGATAGGCTGATTCTTGGACAGCAACAGGAGAGAAAGAGTATGTGAATACTGCTGCAGGTAGTGGGCAGCTGGAGTGGTAAAAGCCTGTGAAAGCTCTTTCTTTTCTGAATAGGAAGCAAGGTCTTCAGTTGAAAGTAAAGAATGAATAGGAGATGGTGAAGACATGAGGAGACTGAAGACATGCAATACTTATTTAGGAGGAGATGAAACAGAGAATGACTATGGAAATCTAGCACGAATGCCAGGCAACATTATGGGTCCCCTTGAAGCTGTGATCATTAATTGAATGCAAGCTCAGCAGCATGATTTTACAGGCATGGACTAGGCAAAGAACTGGATTTAATCAGCACTGTAGTTTAGCCAGGCAAGCCTGCTGA